AAAAAAAAAAAAAAAAAAAAAAAGAACTAAAAAAAACCCACCTCTCTCCCTCAGTTTCACCTCGTTTGTCATTATTGTAAGACATCTCCTTTTGGAAAGTCAACCACATCAAATAGGATGGAGGATTCACATTCATCATAACCACCCTCAACAGCTTACACCACGGCAGAGATCAAGAACAATTAACATAAATTGGGCAAGGAGAAGACCTAGGTTTGTGCGACTTAAGAGACTACATATTTCCCCCACTACCTGGTCTCTCTTGGATACATCCAAGTTGGTTCTTTTACCATCCTGCCCACATGCCCTAAGCTCTTTCTGGCATTGCCTTTCATACTGTTCTTTACCTCAGGTATGATTTCCATCTTTATCTCTGTCACACAAACCTCACTTCCTTGAAGATCCAGCTCATGACCTATTTTCTCTATACAGTTTCTTTGATGGAACCCCCACTGTGATGGTTTGTTCTTTTTTTTGAAACCACCAATAAACAAGAATTTATTTGAAAAATTCCGAACCTGAAAGAGGTAGCACTTTTTAAGCCCGAAGCCTGACCCACCTTACCAAGCTCCAAGGGACAATGAGTTCTCTCTAACTCCCCCTGCCCTCCACCAAGCTTTACACCCATACCTCAGGCCATGCTAGAAAACTCTAGTATCCCCTTCTAGGAGGCTTTACAGGGCCAAAGAGCAGGGGTGTCAGCCCTCTGGCATCCCAGAAGATAACAGTGGCCAGAGCCGCTTACATAGATTGAGAAAAGATAATAAGGGAGGAGGCACCAAATAGGGTTTCCTGAAAAACAACAATGTACCCCTTATACAAAAAAGTGGCTCCCACATAGAAAAACCTGCTCCCCAAATAGTGCAAATAGCCAGAGGAAAGAAAAAACCAGCAGCAAGGCTGGGCTGGTAGGAATGGCAGAACTTTGGTTTAGAAAAGCTAGGAAGAGTGTGAGCTATGCCCCTCTTCCTTGCCCAGCTCCCAAGAGCCAGCTAAGACACTGGCCCCAAGGGGGAGTCTGAAAACAAGCAAAGCAAGGGGACTTTGGTTCTGAAACATCTCCATTACAATGGCAAAGCACAGCCTCCAGAGCCTGCACAGGGCAGAAGCATCCGTTATGAACCTAATTAAAGCCAACGCATAAGGTATGTAATAAGGCTTTGGAGACCAAGCAATAAGGAATCCTATCACTACATTTATGAAACTAAAGCAGGGGAGCAGACAGTGATACCCCTCACCCCATTCTTACCCTACGGCCCCAGATGGTGGTCCCTTTTAGGCTGAGGGGGGTGGTTTCAGGGCTGGGAAGAAAGGAAAGGATCCCTGAGCAGTCAGGGCAGGCGAATTCAGGATGATCTGTTCTTTACATTTAATATCTTCAACACTCATGTAGCATTTTCAGTCAACAAATATATTTTAGGAGCCAGGCAAGAAGGACATAAAGATAAAACATAATTTGTTTAGAACTTTTTACAAGAAAAAAATTATATTAAGTAGTAACTCCCAGTACTTTATTGCATTGCGTTGTGGGAAGAGAACTGACCAACTGATGCCTGCCTGAGTGAGTAGGCCTAGTGAGATGAGCAGGCTTTGCTACACAGGTGAAGGAAAGGATGAATTCCAGCAGAAGGAGCACACAAAGAGAGGAATGAAAGGAAATGGCAGATCACGAAGGACTGGCAAATTCAAAAAGGCTAGAGATCTGAGTAGATGAGGGAGGTCCCAAAGTATGTTGAGGCCAGGCTCTGAAGGCCTTGTATGCTGTGCCACAGGCACAGGCAACCTCAATGAAGCTCTTTAAGGGATTGACACAAGCACATTTGCTTTTCAAGAAAATAACTACTAGCAATACAGAGGATGGAATGAAACAGGAGGAAGACAACTTAAAAACACTGATGCATTAACAGTTTAACCAAGAGGTGATGGGTACTGAACCTAGCAGTGGCAGTGAGAATGAAAAGCACTGCTAATGAAGCATTTCCCAGGTACACACCATCATGGACTTGCCAATAAAGTGTATGTTTTGGAATCATCTGATAGACTCAACCTTTTCCAAAAATAGGTTGACTGTCTTTGATGACTTCAACCTCTTTCAATCCATCATGATTTCAAGTTCCTAAATGTCACAGGACAATGTTAATGGATTAAATTGTTTCCACACATCTCCAAATTGAAAAGGGCCTCTTTAATCTATTCCCAAGAGTCTCTGCAATGGAAAGAATACCTGGGAAGTATCCTTACAAAATAGGTAAAATTCATTAATGTAGTGTTGTACAAGGATACCCTTCTCTTTGATAGATTGCATAAAATAAGACATACTAAGCTTCAGTCAGGTTAATATAATCAGTAAGCATCTCAACATTCTCCTAGAAACTCAGAATCTTTCCTTCTAGGAGAGAACCTAAAAAATTGAGGGTAGAGGGAGTGGAGGGAAAGAATGTTACTTTCATCCAAAAGTCCATGGATACATATAAACATTGTAGACCAAATATTTATTAAATACCTTCTATGTTCCAGGCGCTGTTCTAGTCACTTGGGACCCATCCATACCCTTGTGGGGCTCACCTTTTCAAAAAGGGAGGTTAGCTGTCCTCGCTAATCCCACTGTTATTCTACTCTGGCTCTTCCCTGAGTAAACCATCACTCAGACCCCACCCACACCCTCCCACCACTCTCAGACTATGATCTCAGACTATAATTCTGCAGAACAAAATTTTAGATCAGGAAAGAACTCAACTTCACGTCCTACCACCTGAAACTTATTTCTGTTTGCACTCATCTTTTCCTGAAGTCCCAGGAGAAAAGGCTTTCCTCCTCCTGTCTAGGTTTGTATCCTGATTCCTCCTTCCTCCCTCCTCACGGACCTCACTCTCTGTCATCACCACTCTTCATAACATATGAGCAGACAGAATCTTAAAAGAATACACTATTTGTCTTTCCATCCTTGGTTCTACCCCAGACTCCCCACTTTAACTTTTATTCTAAAGTACTAGCAGCTTTCAAGTTTTCATATGCAATGAGGGACTCTCCATTGCTTTCTTTACTTATCCCTCTGACTTTTGACATTGTTGACCATGCCTTCCTTCTGCAACACCGTATTTTTTTAATTTTGCTATTGCTTCTCTGGCTGATCACCCAATCTCAGAACTTCTCTTCCTCAGTTTGCCACTGTCTTCTTCAGGGTTCTGTCTCTGTCTTTCCCTTCTTCTCACTCTGACACATGTATGAATGATCTCATCTTCTGTGCATTCAGTTACCACCCCTCCTGCTTGTGACCTCAAGTCACATCCACAGCCTAAGTCTCTCCTTTTAAGCTATAGACCCATTTATGCAAGTCACCCACCTTTGTCTGGACTCAGTATGTCTAGATACTGAGCTGGCATTCCTCACATAATGCATCAGTCCCACTATCAAAGCCATTGAAAAGACTATGTTTATGACAGAAAAATGTTTAAGTAGGAAAAGAGCTACAATTAGTATAGGCAAGATTCTAATTTTGAATTTTGGAGAATATATGTACACATTTATACAGAGAAAATATGAATAGAATATAAACCCGAAAAATTTTGTTTTTAGATTGTGAGGTTTTTTTTCCTTTACACATTTCCATGTTTTAAAAGTTTTCTGCAATGAGTACTTAATACTTTTGTAATATGGAGAAAAGAAAGCAACTACACCGATAAATATTTTAGGTAATACCAATCAAGTCTACGGGACAATATTAAAAGGAAGTATGTATACATGTATACACATATACATATATAAGATTAAAATTATTTTAAAGAAAGAAAAATTATGCATAAGAAAAGAAAAAAGACTGGTAGGAAATACATCAAAATAATGGCAGCTGTGTGGATGAAATAATTATGGGCAATTTTCCTTCCTTCTACAATTCTATGCCTTGAAATTTTTTTTTCAAGAACATATATTATATTAATACTGAAAAATTACTGTACTTATTAACGCTGACCAAACCTTCTTTTTCACTGTATCCTGCCTCCTGAAACAAACCAACAACACTAATATGCACACAAACCCACAGGTACTTACATGGGCTTACATCTCTGTATCTGTTTCGATTTCTGTTTTCTGGAAACTTGGCCACTCTATGAGGATAGTCATGGGACTCATTGCGAATTTCCTTAAAATAACAAAAATATATTTTAATATTCTTCTTAAATTTTATATAGCAAAACAGACACTTTCCCAGCCAGTATAAAATAACACTTATTGAGCACTTATGATGTGCCAATTACTATGCAAAGCACACTATCTACATTATTTCATTCAATTCTCACACCAATGGGAATGATTATCTTCTCCATTTTATATGCAAGGGCTGGTAGGCTTTGAGAGGTAAAACGACCTACCACAGGTCACAAAGCTAGTAAGTGGCAGACCCCAAGACTGAACCAAGGTCCATCAGACACCAAAGACTTTGCTCTTCATATATTTATTTACTGCCATGCTATATTCAACAGCTACAATGCAACATCAAACAATTTATGTCACAAAGAATTAATGCAATGGAGGTATCTAAGATTACATCATACTCAAATTTCTGACTAAACTTTCTTAATATTATCTACCTATATTTCAGAGTTTCTATCTTCAAATCGTAATCTATTTTTCCTTCATATAACTTTTATTTCGAGTCCAGAAATATCCTTAAAATTTTGTTTCTAGAGCTTAGCAATAACTACTAGGCCTGAGGCTCAATTTAGGTAGGACCTTTGTGGTTCTCTGTATTCCACTAGAGTTGAAATTCTGTGAGGTTATGTCTGCATTAGGCACTCACCTACTTATATCCAACACCAGCAGGTTTTTTTCTCTCATATGAAATATAATTCTAAGAATTCAGGTAAAAACAGAAATATAACCCCAAAAGAGTATGCATTAACAGCAAAACTTAATTTGGGCTTATGTTCACACTACCACATGTGAGAAAAAGCATTTTAAAAGTTAAGTACCAGATAGTTCTAGAAATTAAGCATGAATAAATTCTTCAAGTCATTTCTTGATGAAAATCCTTACTGTGGGTTCCCTTGCCTGCTACCATTCTTGGCCTTCCAAGATGCAAGAGAAGGGAACACATACCCAACCAATGTGGCTCAGCAGTTGAGCATCAACCTATAATCCAGAAGATTGAGGTTTGATTCCCCATCAGGGCATATGCCCGGGCTTCAGGCTCTTGAAGGCTCGATCCCCATTAGGGGATGTGCAGGAGGCAGGCAATCAATGACTCTCTCATCATTGATCTTTCTATCTCTCTCTCTCTCCCTCTCCCTTCCTCTCTCTGAAATCAATAAAGAACATATTTAAAAAATTGAGAGAGAGAGAGAGAGAGAGAGGGAGAAAGGGAACACAAACCACCTTTCAATGGGAGGAATCAGTCACATTGTGCAAAGAGCACGTGGGATGCAAAATATGTTGGTACAGCCACTTTGGAAAATGCATTTTTTCACACAGAGAAACAGAAACACACACTGTACACACGTTACAATTGTTGCTGTTGACTTTTTAATGCTACTGTCACATCCAGCAATCTTGCTGAGCTCTCTAGTATTTTATAGCTGGTTCTGAATTTTTCAGTATCAATAGTGATAATTCTGACTCTTCCTTATACTTCATATTTCTTATTTATTCATACCTCTTGTTTCTTTTTCTAATCTAATTACATTGTCTAGCACCTCCTATTCATAGTCAAATAGGAATATTTTTCCCCCCTGATTTTGAATGAATTGCTTCTAAGGTTTAACCACTAAATGTAATACTGCTTTAGGTTTCTAGTGGATACACTTTTCAGGTTAAGAAGTTTCTCTTCAATTTCCAGTTTGATCATTTTTTTAAATCATGAATGGGTACTGAATTTTATTCAGTGTTTTCCCTGTATTCACAGAGATGATCATATAATATTTCTCCTTTAATCTGGTAATGTGTTAAATTACAATAGTAGATTGATTTTCACTTAATAATAGACATTTAAGATTTTTCCAAATGTCTTCTCATGGCTTGATAGCTCATTTCTTTTTAGTGTTGAATAACATTCCATTGTCTCCACCATTATTTTATTTAACATGTATGCATACATGTTTTTAAGTTGAACTGACCTCTAATTTTCTTTTCTCATATGATTTATTCAGTTTTAGTATCAAAGTTATACCTGCCTCATACAATAAGTTGATAAAAAATATGACCTTTCCAGTTTCAAATACTATTCCATGAAATCACATTATAACAAATTATTGTGACTGGCTGAAAAGCAAAAAAGGCTTCAACCATTTCCACAGATTAATTATAAAAGTTTTTAAATGTCAAATAATAAACTTTACATATAAAATTAAACATATTCAGGTACAGGCTTATATTTGTTTGCATAACCTCAAACACTATATGAACAGTTAAAACACTACAAAGTGGTATCATAGGTAATTTTATATTGCAAGTTAGTAACTGATATAAAAGGGAAATATTAAAATAATACTAAAACATAATTTTTCTTTTGACAGCTCTTCTGTATCAAGTGCAGAGAAAACAGATTGGCAAGAATAAAAAATTCTAATTGATGCTATGTAGATGAGAGTGAAAAAAGAGCCTCATACATTACTGAGAGAATGTATACCAATATATTTTTGTGAGAATAATTTGATAAGATCATAAATTTGGCTCAATAATTTCAATGCCAGAAATTTATATCACATATAGTCATATACTTGTATGCAAATAATTATGCACAAGGATGTTCACTCTATTGTGAAAAACTGACAACCTAAATGTCCTTCAGTAATGAACTGGTGATATAAGTTATAATGCACCAATGCAGTGGAATACATGGGAACCATAAAAATACATGGATATGGTACAATTTCAAAGACATATACTGTGCAGTGGGGAAAAAGGTACAAAATATATGTTTAATTCAAAGGGGGCAGGGACTCCACTCAAACATAAAAAGCCTGAGAATACAATGAATAATTCTAGAAGGAGACAAGAAATTAGTAAATTCTGGGGATGAAAACTGCGGGACTGGACATCTAGGGAAGTGTAGAGATTTATGTAACTAAAAATTTGTTTTACTTATGAAATATTTCTAACAGAAAAATACAGATAATATGACAGCCATGTTCCCACCAATGAGATTAAACACTGATTAACAATTTTGGTTTTATTTGGGTTTTTCTAATTAACACTTTTGGCATATCTAAATACAACATCAGATACAGCTAAAGGGTTTTCCCTACCCTGTCCCTCTTTCTTTCCAACGTAAACTTCCGTCCTTTTAACTGCTTTTTTATTGGAGACCTTTTGTGCCATCTGAATTTTAAACTATATATTCATATATGCTTTAGTTCATGTATTATTTTAAAATAAACTAGCTTAAATACTAATATAATATCAGTCCTAATGCTAATATATAGTTTTTAAATCACATCAAAAAGTTGTTGACCCTGGCCAGGCATGGCTCAGCAGTTGAGTGTCAACCTAGGATCCAGGCGATCGGGGTTCGATTCCCAGTCCGGCCACATGCCCAGTGCTTGACCAATGACTCATCATTGATGTTTCTATCTCTCTCTCTCCCCTCCTTTCCTCTCTCTGAAATCAATAAAGATATATATTATTAAAAAAAAAAAAAAAAAAAAAGCCCGCAACCCAAGCATGTGCCCTGATCGGGAATCGAACCATGATCTCCTGGATCATAGGTTGATGCTCCACTGCTTAGCCACACCAGCTGGGCAGAATATATATATATATATTTTTTTTCTTTTTTTTTCTTTTATTTCTGTTTAAAATATTACAGATGTCCCTTTTTCTCCCCAATGAGAATATATATATATTTTAATTAAAACAATTAGCAAAGGAGATAGAACTCCATTATACCAGGCCTTCTTCAATACTTCTGTTATGCATATACACCTATTTCCACAGTTAAGTACATCTGTCAGTTGATTCCAATTTTTAACCTAAAGAAATACATTTATTTGTGTACACTATAACAAATTATAACAAATCATAATTGATGTTGCAAAAATATAACATAAATAGAGTGGGATCCAAAGTGTAGGGTTAGGGAAGGGATTTTAATTTATAAATTTATTTAAAATTTATAAAACACCTTAAAACAGCCATTTCTCAACTTGGGTTAAGAAATACATTTTGTTTTCTCAATTAATTACCAAAAACAGAAACTCTTGCAGAGTCCATTCTCTCAAATCTCCAATGTTATTTGTTCTCAATTACCATTCTTTAATTCCAGTGCATTTTAGGAAGACAAGAACCCCCAATACTTTATAAAGTGGCTCCAGACATACATATTAGTTTTGCCTATTCCAATATCCATTCTTTCTAACTATAGGTTTCTGGTTTTATTTCTGACTTAAATAAGCCCAACTAAAAACCTGTACTGCCCAGTTTCCTAGACAGCTAAGAATGGTCATGGAACACAGTTCTGGCCAATGGGAATAGGCAGGTACCACTGGGCTGGGTTGTAAGAAAACTCGTATAGAAAGGACTGGCTCAGTCAACTCGTGTCCTTCTCACTTCTGCCCGTCTACAGTACAGGTTTTGATGTGGGGGTGAGGGGTGGAAATGGGCAGAGTCTATCCTGTGACCATAAGGTAAAAAGCATATTCTAAGAAAGGCTTAGCAGAAAGAGAAGAGAATGGGTTCATCAGTGACATCATGGAGACACAGTAACAGCTCTGAACTCCTATCTCTAGAATTTTCATTACATAAGAAAAATAAGTCCCTATTTATTAAGTCAGATATTAAGCTTGATTTTCTTTCCCATGTAGCTAGATGTGCATTATACACACAATATAGCCAAACCTCAACAATAGCCAGACCTGACACTGATAAAGCATTTTCAAGAATACCCAAGACACAGAAATAAATAATTTTATTAGCATAGTACATAAACAATAAAATACATAGTGTTTCTCAAAATGGTTATGGGAAGGCAGGCATTGCTATTCACTAGGTCTCTATTTGGAAAAAACCAACCTCTACTGATCTTCTGATGCTAAAATGTTCCCCTCCTATAGCAGAGAGGACCCAGTCTACAGTGGCGCTAAATACTACATCAAGAATGTTTCCTGGCCCTAGGGCCCCAGCCAATTTGGCTCAGTGGTTAGAGCACTGGCTTGTGGACTGAAGGGTCCTGGGTTCGATCCTGGCCAAAGGCATATACCTCAGTTGAAGGCTCCATCCCCAGCCTTGGTCCGGGCGAGTGAGGGAGGCAACCAATTGATGTGT